TTTATTCCATGTCAACAACATTACGGAAGGAATCTCGTCAACTCGCTGGTGTCCATAGGGAAAAAAGGTCTTAAAACAAACCGAGTGTGAGGTGCGCATAAAGGATTTTTTTTTATTCAACGAGAGAAGCAATGACATTAAGCAACCAGAAGTGGAATTTTTTTCGTGTTTAAATTTACGTTACATGCTAAACCAATCTTAGTTCTGTGCTCGATTCAAGTCCAGTTAACGATTTTACCATCCACAACACCTCGTAATCCACGTAGTCACAAGCGCCCCCACATCCAGAAATCCATTAGCCGCAACCCCCCTTACAAAAATCCCCGCCGACGCCCCTAGACCACAGCGTTCACTACCCCCGTATGGCTGCCTTGAAATTATAGCTGACAAACACACCAACGCGAAGAGCTTGACCTTGCCCATCTTGAAAATGTGTTTAGCATTCTTTCTTTCGTTTTTAACTGGCCAGTCTTTTAAAAAAAAAATATGATAGACTTGTTCGAAGGCGGGAAAAACAAACAGACGACACGCGAAGCAGACGATATCCATGTAGAGAGTGAAAAAAGGGGGAGATAATTATCAAACCATCTTGGCGGGACGCACCATTTGACTTGTGGGCAAAGACAGCAGGCCAGCGGACGAACGCGATGCGGCAAAGCTTCCGTTCAATTAGAAAATGACTTCTGCTCATTAGAAAAGTATATCTTTTTTGAGGCCGGCTAATGAACTTTTAAACGACTGTGACGGGGAATTTTTTTTTTTTATGGTTTGATACGAAAAATTTATTTTTATTGATGTAAACTGTAAGGTAGCAAAGCAGCTGTTTCGAGAAATCAAGAAAAAAAATTGACTTAGTCAAAAAAACATGACTAATATCATCAAGTCAGATTGTGACTTGGTCATAAAACATGACTAGTATTATTAAGTCAGATTGTGAATTGGTGATACTGGTGTGACTTCTGCACATAAAACAACAACAGCGCTGACGTAACGAAGTCTAGAGTAAGTAAAACAAAAGAGGCTCACTGCGCATGTCTTATCTAAACATGCTTAGTCTATCCTAAAGTGCGTGATGTTAAGATTTTAACCAAATTTTTCGAAGAGGAAAAAAAACGTCTATTTGGGTGGGCAATGTTTTTGTTGACGTAAAAAGAAATTGTTCAAGTAAAACAAAGAAAGGGCGGCTACTCCTGATGTATCTGGGACAGGGGAGACAAATATTTATTTTTGCAAGCTTCACCGTTGTAACAGTACCGGGTAATATGTTTTCACAAGTCTTTTACACGCCTTATGTATAACGGACAATATGGAGGGTCAGTATCATGTACATAAAGACAGCTGTTACGTGGTTTCTCGCCTACGTGAAGATAGTGTGACCATCACAAGGTCAAGTCGCCTTGACCGTCACAGACGACAGACGAAGATCGAATTATCGACCTGAGCTCGAGTCTCTCTACCTAGTTTATTAATAATCGCGCGCTCTACTAAAACAACACTACTACAACCTGTTTATTAATAAAATACTTAAAAAAAACTTTTTAAAAAACCACGTTTTTCTTGTGGACTAAAAAGTAGAAAATAAATTTTTCTTTTGTGCTTCCTCGAGCTGTGCAGGTTCTTGTGATGACTGACAAAAAACGGGGGTACGTTCACCATCAAATTTCCCGACCCATCTGCCCGACCCACGATTGGGGCCGAAGTAACTGTGTCAATAGGCCTCCAGTATTGTCGGTATGTTTAGAAATCATGTCCTCGATTGTATGGTCCTTGGGGCGTAATGTAATTAAGCTAATTTAGGTCTCTAATTGCTAGTTTTTATGATTGCATCTGAAATTGTTAGGCGAAAATAGCCTGCATTCCAAATTTCAGATCTCTAGAGCAATCAGAAGTGGGCTAATTTTCGATGTCAATTTTAACAACAAACATCCAAACAAACAAACAAATAAACGCGAAGCTGAGTTAAGAAAAACGTGTTAAAAAACTAGAAAACAATCACACAGTCTATACGTCCAGAAGCCCCAGAAACTGTATATCATTTCAGCCAATTAAACCTAAAGATGCTACATCACCTCGTCTAAGCTACAGGTATACTTATTACATCGACTGCTGTAAATCGTATACATCCTTTACAGGCCGAATGAGATACGTTACATTACTTGTGTTATCTCTTATGAGCTTTTGACAAATCTCATTGAAATGACTGATTCTATAGACTTTATTAACAAAGTACTAACACAAAAAAACAACATTGGAGCTATTTCGACAGGAAAATAATACAAGGTTGACACGTAATGCTTAATTGTGTTAGGGGAAATTCCGTCCAACTTTACAATTCAGAACAAAGAATAATTATGGTGTATCAATTTTTTCATGCATATTTCCACGGTATTTGACGTCTACAAACAAATACAAAAAAATGAGTAATTAAAGACTATATTACACAAACAGAGATGATGATAGACAAAATATAATACATGAATGATATTTTAAGCACCCATTGCATGCTACTGAAGCGTTCAGTTGGTCCATCATAGAGATCAGATCGCCTGTAACATTTGCTTACAGCAGGTCGTACAACTCGTGCATAGTTTTGTTATACAAAGAAACAAAACATTTTTAAAATTGTTAGCTCCCCTTACGGATAGGTTAAAAAAAAAAGTTGAAAACATGGTAAGCACATCAGGGTCAAATGAAAGAAGGTTCTTAACTTTGAACAACACTCGGGTATTTTTTATACCCCGTCACCAAACCCATCGGGGATCATCTGTCAATCTTTTTTCTCGGCACCCCCCCCCCCACCCCACCTCCTTTATTTTTTAAAATAAACAAAGCCACAACATCATCGTTTGAAATGTACCATTTTGTTTTCAAATATACAAAGAGCCATACACGCAGAATCCATATATTGAACCAATAGCTTATTTTACACTTTAAGAAACTTTAGGAAGAAGCTACAAAGGCTACAAGCTTAAATGTGGAACACGTTTTTTTTTTCATTTCAAAAACTGGGAAATTCCCGAAAACACATTTTAACTTCCCATGTCTTTGTCTAGTCTACAGATATGTAAGATGTTTCAGGGCGTTTCTTATGTCGAGAAACTGAAATTAAAATAAAAGCATAGACGTAGCCTATACTTTACTATCTAAACGCAATATAACATACTTGAAAGAAAACATGCCAAATGTATATATATGCCAAATATATATTGCAATATTTTCTTATATATGAATTAATTGAAACAAAGCATGCCAAAATGTTAACGTGTTGCAATATTTTTCAGAGTGAGTAATTTTAAACATATTTTAATAATACCACATTTAAAATATTTTTAAAATATAACGATTATTTCTCCCATAGTAATACACAAAGTATTATATCAATACATACATTTATTTTAATCGTAAAAATGTAGCTATTTCTTCAAACAACATTTAAGTAAAGAAATAGGCTAGCCACCGTAGTTGACTACAGTGGCGTAGCTGAGGGAGGGCGGGTGGGGCGGCCGCCCCGAACTCAGACCCTTAAGGGGGCACCAAAAGTGGGGTATAAAAATTAATTAAAAGCTCATTTTAAGATAAAGTATTGAATTATACACAGTCAAAGGAATAACCAGATATAGAAATAACTATATATAAATGTGAGATGGGGGGCGCAAAATTAACAGTCCACCCCGGGCGCCGGAATGGGTCGCTACGCCTCTGGTTGACACACAGCACACGTGCGTGCAAGTAACGCAACAAAATACTGTCGTCTGTTATAACCATAGCCCAGCTGTTGAGCGCCGCGGGGTGGGGCTGAAGCGGCAAACGATGAACACAGAACACATAGAGGGCCAATGAGGCAGAGGTTGTTAGGCGATTCAAAATCTTTAACCGGCTTAACCGGGGCAGCAAGTTAGGGTTACGATTCATCGGCTTTCAACTTAACGAATTCTCAACATCGCAGCCGTTTTTAAAATATTATCCTCCATTTGTTGATGACCCGTGGATGAATTGAAAAGTCGGTTGTAGCTTGCAGACAAGTTTTGTAGCAGTTTTAAAAAAAAAAGAGACAACCCATGCAAGGGGAAATCATCCTTGATTAAATTCAACGTAATGTAACTGGAGTTGTTTTTTTTTGTGGGGTTTTTTTTTTGTTTCTTTTTTTAATTGTAGTAATGCAGAGGTTTGATAGGCCTACATAAAACAGGACAACCAGTTTAAAAGCTACGAAATAAATAAATCATTCTGCAACAATTTATGTTTTTTCTTTGCGAAATAAAAAAAATGAATATAACAGCAAGCAGTATTACAATTTGAGCAAATAATCTGAAACGTGTTCTAGGTCAATTAGCAAATTTTTTTAAATATAAAAACCTTATCCAGATTAAATTTTGTGTCAGTACTTTGTAATGTTGTTCTCCAATGTGTGCAAATTGAAAGAATGAAAGACACAAAGCTATTTTAAATTGATTTAGTGTTTTAAATATGAATGCAAATTGTTGGGCAGTATCTACAACTTCTTTCCACATACATGTTACATCACAGAATAAATATTGACAATCCTTTTCGATTAAATGATTTTTTTAGTTAATTGAAGAACACAAATAATTTAAAGGATAGGTCTAGCAGAGAATATATACTAATTTTAAAATGCACATATTAATTCAAGCCAATCCATTAACTAAACCTTTCAAAGATTGATTTTGTAAAAAGTATTTTTAAGGTAAAAAAAAAAAAATATTAAAATAATTTAACAAATAATTTAAAGGATAGATCTAGTAATGAGTGTATAATGATAATTAGTAAAACTAATCATCTTCAATATTGACCCATTGTAAAGAATGCGTAGAGTTCAGTGCAGCATAAGGAGTGTATAATAATAATTAGTGAAACTAATAATCTTCAGTATAATATTTGACCCATTGTAAAGAATGTGCAAAGAGATCCAACTGAGTTCTGTGTAGCATAAGGGTAATTAATGTATTATAATGATTAGTAAAACTAATTCAAAGACTGACCTGTTCCCTTCCAGACATCCCATATGATGCGAGATGGTAAACCACACTGGCACCCTTGAAAACTGTAGATAACATCTCAACATCTGTGATGTTCACCTATAAAAAAACACATAATAATTTTTTTTTTATTTAACATGTTATTTTCAATATTTTAGTAAAAAGAAGTAGTTTATTGGGTTTATTAAATTTTCTATTTTCCTATTTGTGCCCAAAATACTTGGAGCATATAAAGTAGAATTCAACTATTTCAATAACCGCAGCATATGAAGGGATAGTGTGGTCAGCATCGTAACCAGCATCTTTGGTTTCCCAATCGTGAGTTAGGTACTTATCAGAGCTGGAATTCCAACAGTCTCCAAATTGATACTTTTGGCTCTACCATCCCAGTAGACTGACTATACCCTAATTTATACATTAGAATGATCATAATTTTTTTTTATTTTAGCAATAGTTAAGCAACATAATCTTTTACTAAATATGTCATTTTTATCTTATTTCTACTTTACAGCGATAATACAAAAGTTATCCACCAAGTTAAACAATGTGACCTACTGGATTACAATCAAAATTTCTAGCAGTAAAGAATGGAAGTATAGTAAACAAAGCTTGAAGTAAGAAACAATGAGACATGGATTATAAAATGGTTTTGTATTTGTTGTTTTCTCCTGATGGTGGAACATCCTGTGCTGGGCAGTAGGTAAGTGATGAGAATGACTGGTGATTGAAAGTAAATGTGTGAGTGAGAATGACTGGTGATTGAAAGTAAATGTGTGAGTGAGAATGACTGGTGATTGAAAGTAAATGTGTGAGTGAGAATGACTGGTGAAACTTGTTTAGCAAGTGATTAAGTGATTGGGAGAGAGTGACAATAAACAGAGAAATTTGTTTTACATGTGAATGGAAATAAATATGTGAATAAGAGTGAAACAAGAACATTTGAGTCACATGTGATTGGAAGTTAATATGCAAATGAAAATGACCAGACAAATGTGTTTTACATGTGAATGGAAATAGATATGTGAATGAGAACATCCAGTAGAACTGTGTTACATGGCATTGGTGGTAAATGTTGAAATAAATGCTGAAAGCTTGGAGGGAATATTTTTTTATGAAAAGGACTAACCAATAAAAAAGCTATGCTTAAAACATTTATAAAAACTGTATATATAAAAGGATGCCTAATTCTGTTGAATACTTAAAACACTGCTTACTGAAAAATGAAAATAAATTTCAATTAGGTTATTATAGTTAAAATGGGTAAACACCTTGATAAATTCCATTCTCTCTTCAAGATCCCAAACAGGTTCTTTAAGATCCAAAAGTTTGACCTGGTGACCTTTCTTAGCCAATCTTTTACCCAGGGAGAATCCTGGAAACCCTCCGCCACCTGTAATTATGTGGATCTCAGGCTTCTTGATTGATGAGGTCATGGTACTACTAACTTCTGATTTAACAATCTGTAGAAAAATAAAGTGAAACTTATAGTTTTTATTTTTAAAAAAGGCATAAATCTTTTAATAAAAACAATAACTTATGAGTATCAAACAAATAAAATTAATTTATAAATACATTGCAAAATGAAAAAAATTGTAGGCCTATCTAAAATAATTTTAGAATGTAAATTTTGATATGTATTATTTTGAGATTCCTTGTATAATGACTTACTACAGAACTAGTAAAAAAGGTGTAATTTACTTTTACAGTAAAACACCTCAAAATAATGAAAATTCTGTATCTAAGATTAGGATTTGCTTGTATAACACACAACAATTATAACAGCAACAGTACCAGTACCTCTATTTGTAATGTTTAGACCTAGTATTAGCCTATATTATTTCTAATTTTTTAAAACTATTTACTTCTGGCCTAGCCTAGAAATTTATAATAATAGCGCCTATACAACTATAATTAACTATATAATATTACTATATAGATATTATTACTATTAGGCCTATTATTAGGCAATTATTTAAAATTAAAAATAAATAACAGAACAGCAACAAACAAATTAAAATACTTAGCACTTAGGCCTAAACAAACTACGAAGTAACTGCTGTTTCTTCACATACTAATACTATAAATGAACTCCCTCCCTCGAGTTTGCCTCGAGAAGTGGCCTCTCATGTTGAAAACGAGAAGAAAAACAACAAAACAGCAACAGAGGAGAGAGTGTGTCACGATGACTTGAGTCGAGTTGAAGATAAAAATCAAAATGAAAATAGCTTTTCTAAAACTAAAACGTTATGTGTAGTCGTGTACGAGACATAATTTATAATTTTATAAATTTTGCAACTTACCTCGCTGCCTGTTTTTAGTTAAGTTAGATGCTAAATCTAGCTTATTTTGCTCACACCAGTACAGCAAACAAACAAATCTTGTAACTCCGCCTACTCGAGCCGAAATGTTTTTGTTGACACAGATTTGTTTCACGCTAAGATTGTCGTAATGTCTATCACAGTAAGATAGCCAATAGTAATGTAATTTTAGCTACACATTTAGAGCGAAGACATAGTAGTTTGGTTTCACCGTTGGCTGCGTAGATTGTTGTTTTGTAGAAGAAAATATGGGATTTTGTTTGCGAGCGTCGGGTTACGACATCAATCGATCGGGGCTGGCTTTTTTGTGCGGTGTCTATCTCCCTGGGCAACGGAGATGCCAACATGGCGGATGTATACTAATGGAAATATTCTCGATCAAGAGGAGGGTTGAATTCATTTCAGGATAACAGGTAATTATAACTTATCTTTGAAAAAATATTATTATTTAAGTATTTAGTTTTATCATTATTTACAAACTGCAATTAAAAAACAGAGAATTAGAAATGAAAAGTTTAAAGTAGAGCTTCAAGAGCTAGATAGATTAAATAAAAATCTTAGACCTAGAATCCTAGAATGATCTACTATTCTAGATCTAGATTTTAGTAATTTAGATTCTTGCTCTTTAGAGTTTACAGCTAGATCTAGAATCTAGATCATCAATTTCAATAAAATCTAGATGTAGATCTGATCTAATAAGCATACTAGAATCTCGATTGCATTAGTTAGTCATAAGGCCTACTTTTTAAGTGTAAATAGAGTCTAGTAAATAATAGTGTTAGTATTATTTTCTTTCTGGACTGGCTGGTTTATTTTAGGATGTAGGCCTACCTATTTGTTTTATTTTATTATTATTATTTTTAAAATTTTATTTGTAAAGGTTTTAATTTTTTAGTGTTATAGTTCTGTTTATAATGAACTTTTATGCTTAGACAAGAAATTCCTGGACTGTAGATCTTGATCTGTTTTGTATTTACTGACTTAAGCATTAGCCATTTCCAAGGCAGTATTATAGGACCTATTTATTTTATTATTATTCATATGACAAAAATTTTATCTTAAAAGTTATGTTATGTTTGATGCTAGAAATGAGGTTAGGTCTATATATCATGAATATTTTTATATATTTTAGGTACAAAAGTAGAATTGTTCTTTGATTGATGAGAATTCCAAAATGTATGACCGAGCACCAAGAGACATAAGTTTTAAAATTGGATGCACACCAGAAGTTGTTGGTCCTGGAAGTTATGATTCAGAACTTATTAATAAGTCCAGACTTCGAGCAGGTAATATCAATATTCCTCATTTTAACGTCCATAGTCTCAAGATATGATCACACAATTGCAGCTTTGGGCTAGGTTTAAGCAGAGGCGTAGCTAGGGGAGGGAGGGTAGGGTTGCTGCCCCGGGCGCTGACCTTTTATTGGATGGGGGGGGGGGGGGGGGGTGTGCGAAACCAAATAAGGTAAAAAATATAAGGTTAGTTCAGTTGAAATATCATTTAATAAAGTTGTATCAACTTTTTACATGCTATTCCACTAACACATAAAATCAATTTGTTTTAAATTCTTTTCAAATTTGTACCATTAGTATTCTATAGTCGCTAAATGTTAAAATGTTAAGATTTATCGTGAACTGTAGGTTTTAGTTTAGACAACTACTTTACCCGCATATTGTAAATGCTAGTATACACAATAAATATATTTTAATCACAACGAGCCGACCCGCAGCGTATCATACGCCGCTATTTAGTTGTTTTATTTTCTACTTTTCAGTAATTCATAATTTGTGAATTCAACAGTACCAATGCTGCCACTGAAAATATTTGCTTTAAAACACTAACCCCCCAACACCCCCCCCCCCCCCCGTGAAAGCAGCCTCCTCTTAGTTATTTCTTAGTTACCTCCTGTAAGTTTAAAATCGAACTAAATTATCTGCCCCTAATAGAAACCCGACTCTATGGCTCTACGATTTGTAAACATTTAGCTTTGTAAACATTTAGCGTGACCACAGCTCACGCCAGACAATGTGGGGGTGGGGTGGGGGTGGTAGTGATAGTGATAGAGAGAAAGAGAGGGGACTGCAAGGAGGCGCTTTGTTTTCTAACGGCTCCCAGAAGAGAATTATATATATAGATACTAACAATGGTATAGTCCAATGCTAAAATTAGCTGCAATCTTGAAAATTAAATTAGCATCAGCTCTCTCCTAAACCATAAACAATGTTTATATTTTCAGATGGCTACTTAAACCACAAACAGTGTTTATATTTTCAGAAGGCTACTTAAACCACAATGTTTATATTTTCAGATGGCTACTTAAACCATAAACAATGTTTATATTTTCAGATGACTACTTAAACCACAAACAATGTTTATATTTTCAGATGGCTACTTAAACCACAAACAATGTTTATATTTTCAGATGGCTACTTAAACCACAAACAATGTTTATTTTTTCAGATGGCTACTTAAACCACAAACATTGTTTATATTTTCAGATGGCTACTTAAACCACAAACAATGTTTATATTTTCAGATGGCTACTTAAACCATAAACAATGTTTATATTTTCAGATGGCTACTTAAACCATAAACAATGTTTATATTTTCAGATGGCTACTTAAACCACAAACAATTTCTATATTTTCAGATGGCTACTTAAACCATAAACAATGTTTATATTTTCAGATGGCTACTTAAACCACAAACAATTTCTATATTTTCAGATGGCTATGCTCCGTTTACAAACAATGTTTATATTTTCAGATGGCTACTTAAACCACAAACAATGTTTATATTTTCAGATGGCTATGCTCCGTTTTTGTCTATGTCCAGTAGAGAGACTTTCCTTAAAGTTAGTGACCAAGTAGTGGCCGCACCAGGACCTGGCCATTATGATGTTCATTTGCTTCGGGATGGAGTCAAGGTAAGATAGCATTCTGACCAGGTTCATGTATAAACCTTTTCCTTGTTTATTTTTTCGTCTTTTATTGAAAAACAAAGTCTTCACTAGGAAGAAAAGTTTTGGTGTAGTATCTCTCACACAATTTTATTTTGTTCTGTGTAAATCACATCACAACTGTATTCTACATTATTATAAAAAAGTGTCTAACCAAATATTTTAAAACACAAAAGTTCTGTTTGTAAGAGTTCATTCTGAAACTTTGAAATATATTCATGTATTCGTTACAAATGTTTATCTCAATGATCTTATAAAATTCTAGGACATATAATAAAATTATTATCAGTGATTAGTATAGTTTATATAAGAAAAAAAAAGTTAATGAATTACTTCTCACATTAAATGTTAGTTATAGTTTCCTTTTTCATACTTGTAAACACATTGTATGTCTATGCTGTAGATAACAAATTTTAAAAGCTCAAATAATTCTGTAGGGCGGATCTACTCTGTCTAACAAGGCCAAACGATTTGTGGAGATCCCTGAGGACACTCCTGGTCCCGGGGCTTATTCCTCTCATGCTTACAAAGAGTTTGGGCGCAAGTCAAAATCTGCCCCTGGCACAGGAAGTGAAGATAAAGGAATGGTATGTTTACATACAAGCATATAAATCTTTTCTCACACAAAAAATTTTTCTCACACAATACACTATCATTGCTCACTGTATTGTTAAAGGATATTTATAATAATTTAATTAAACACTTAAATAAAGTATATGCATAAAAAAATTATTAATTTTTTTTTAATATATACATTATGTATTTGTTAATGTTGTTGATTTATTTAAATTCTTTAAATACCCCTATAAAATTATTTAGCGATTTCCCCCAATGCTTTTGAATACAAGGGTAGATAACTTTTACATTGCGTTTTCAAAAACCAAATTGTGTATTACTTCCCTTAGAACGAAATTTTTATTATTTTTAAAGAATTTTTTTTGTCATTTATTTGAATTTCCATGTATTGTTTGGAATGAAAATTAAATAGAAAATTCTATTTAATTAAATATGTTTATCACTGTGTTTCGAATTTTTAAAATTGTATTTCAACTTTTCTATCCACAGTTAATGTCCTCACGTATCAAATTCTACCGCAAGCCCGAGGCACCTTCCATCCCATCCCAGGGCCAGGCGTATGGATATGAAGAATGTGATGACGGGAGTTTGAAAAAACAAGACCCACCAACAAAGGATAACTCTTTAGGCCCAGCATATTACACACCCATGCTAGTGAGTTGTCTTTCTTCATCCACTATTCACAAATTTTCATTGTACTCAAGACTTCAATAATATTATAGTAGTTTTAATACAAATATTTCCATTTACAAAATTTCACATCGAAGACAAGGTTACCGATTAACCAAAAAATCATTACATTAATTAGATGACACTGTAAAAAAGCTATTGCTCATGTTAAAACAATTTTTTTTTAAATGTTATAGTTAAATACAATTTTCAAATTTAAAAAAAAACCTTTGAAATTTGCCTTGTAATTAAACAGTCATTTAGCTTTAAGCACTAAATTTAATGTGGTTTAACAGTCAAATTAACATGTGCTGCAGATCCAAATACGTTTACACAAAACAACTTATATCTAGTTCGAAGGAAAAATTAAACAAATAAACTTTTATTGACCTTTTTTTTTTATTTATAAATTTTATAATTTCACTAAAAGAAAATAATATCAATTATCATTTTTACTATGAGAGATAGTAGTTTTCAAGAATACATAGTTATGTTTAAAATTATTAAATTTTTATCAGGATAAATATATAAATATATATATATATATATAAATAGAAAAGCTTTGTACAAATAATACAGACTGCAAAATGAAGTGCTACTAATCACAATGTTGTGAATAACATTGCCTTGAGTTTATACGCAGACTATGTAAAATCTATGTGTGAATCACCCAGGCTGTGTACAATTTATATGTGAATTACATAGTCTGAGAAAAAAGAATAATGTGAATAACACAAACTGTAAAATATATATTTGAATCACACTGCCTAAGAAATAAAAGTCTGTGGAAAAGTTATATGTGAATCACTCAAACTGAGTAGGCTAAGAATTATATGTGAATTACACAGTCTGTGAAAATGAGGATCATGTGAATGACACAGCCTGTTAAAAGTTACATGTGAATTACACAGTCTGAGAAATATAAAATAATGTGAATCACACATTCTGAGAAATATAAAATAATGTGAACCACACATTCTGAGAAAAACAAAGTATAATGTGATTCACACAGTCTGAGAAATAAAAAATATAATGTGAATCACAGTCTGAGAAATAAAATAAAATATAATGTGAATCACACAGTCTGAGAAATAAAATAAAATATAATTTTAATCACACAGTCTGAGAAATAAAATAAAATATAATGTGAATCACACAGTCTGAGAAATAAAAAAAACATAATGTGAATCACACACCCTGAGTAAACACTGTACAAGACCACTGGTCACAAGCTGCTGTTTCATGGATCTCAAATGTCAAACTCACGAGACCCAAGAGGATTCTATTTTATGTTTGCTCACACAAGCGCAATCAATAGAAGAAAGTAAACTAACTACCCCGCCCTGTCATACAACTCACCCAAACACAAACACCCCCCCTGTTCATAATGACACTTTTTCCCCCTTTCCTTTTCTTAGTAAACAAGACATTTTTTATAGCATCAATCTACCAGCTAACAAAATAAATATATGTATAAGAATAAGGGCAAGGGATGCTGCTACGATAAGTCTAATCTTTCAAATATGTTTGTAGTGATGTCACATTCATCTAGTTTTTAACTGACACCATCATGAATAGTTACTAATACACTAGCACATTAAGTAGATCTAATTAGCAGTACACCCTTATTTTTAAACAAAAGGTTACCTACATAATTCATTGTGAAACGCCTAGCCACTGATATGGAGTAGATATTTTAAGTGCATAGAGTTGAACTCTAGAATCATGGACCACACTTAGGAGAGCTGTTGTCCTAAAGCAAACAAAATATTCATCACTGAACAAAATGATTAATAAATTGTTTTTTTTTTATCCTATGTATTATGGGTGTGTGTGCATATATAAAGATATATATATATATATATATATATATATATATATATATATATATATATATATATATATATATATATATATATAAATGGAGAGACAGGGGGGAGTTGTAGTAGTATTAGAGCAGGTAGGTGTGTTGGAGGGAGAAGGGGGGTGTTGTTGGATGTTGTAACCCTGCACTGAGATGGAATTTATTGCTTTCACGTGTCATTGTGTCACGTGGTTGGCTCGTTGTGTCAGGTCACGATAACATTTAAACACATGACATGCACACACACATACACACACACACAAAAAAACAAAGTTAAAAACACTAGCATCCGCATCAACATTCCATGTTAAATTATGTATGGCTGGTAAGGGGTGGGGGGGGGGGGGGGTTGGTTGTTGTGGGAGGCGGCTGTAACTCAAATACCGTCGCGAAAGTTGGGAGGTGGTAAGTTCTAGCGGCGCTGGGGGTGGAAACGTGACCCCCGTGTCCCATTGTCTAGCGATGTCTTACCTGTCCCGACGGTAGGGACGAATCGGTTTTATTGATGGGTGTTTGTTGTCAGACAGTGGGGGGATCCCGTGCCCCACACGCTCGGTGTTTGGTCTTAGGTTACCAGGGGGGTGGGGGTAGACACGGAGATGGCGACGGGCTTTGCTTGACGTGCGACGGAATACGACACCGTTAAAATACTAGGAAGTGTCTGTTTTTTTTTTAACGTTAACCATGACAACTGGAATTGCGTTTGCTTATTACGTCAACAGAAACGGTCTTGTTCATAATTTATATCAGAAGAACATTCCTTGTTTTGTTAAAACTAAAAAACGCAGAGCAACGGAAAAATTCTTTCTTGCCCGAAAACCGGTGTACACACACACTCAACATACGTCCAGAAAGTATACTCATAAATAAGTTGGAATTTCAAAACAGTGTATTAATTTTTAGGCCAATAAAATAATTGATAAATGTTGTTTAAATCATCTCTTGATCAAGGCAGTGATACATTCTACACACCGTATCAAAAGTATTGAGTCATCTTTTTGTTCAATACCGCGATCGGTCATAGAAACGCATCAATGTCCTTAAAACGTTCAACTGCTTCTGCTGCACCAACATACAGAAAGCTGATCGACCCCATTACTTGTATGGTGAACTAACGATACTGAGAGCACACATTATTTATACTCAGACTACCCCGTCCCTATCCCAAACACCGTAAATAATTAACTGTATGAAAGGAAAGTTCTCTCTCTCTCTCTCTCTCTCTCTCTCTCTCTCTCTCTCTCTCTCTCTCTCTATATATATATATATATATATATATATATATATATATATATATATATATATATATATATATATACTCGGACCAACCTCCCCTACAAAAACACACTAAATAGATATGTTACCAATATAACAGAGACAAGTTCTCCAATCGTTTATACTTAAGACGACCCCGTCCCTACACAAAACAGATATGTTAACAATCTTACCATTGTGTTTCTTCTTCCTAGCCGGACTCGAACCCTACCAAAGTCTACAAAGGCATTCATTTCGGGAAACTTTCCTCCAAGAGGATGGAGTTTTTCGGCAAATCCGGCCCGGGGCCGGGCGACTATGAGCCCTACCCCGAGAAGTCGTGTCTGGCCGAGAACACCAACATAAACGCGGAGGAAAGTCTCAGGTACGAGACCAGGCTGCCCCGGTACCATGAGCAGGTGCAGAAAGAAGCGGAGAAAAAGGTAGGTGGACATAGGTGAGACGAGGTGACTATAGGTGCTACTAGGTGAACATAGGTGGTCCTATGTGTAAATAGGTGATATTACGTGGTGTAAATGTGTGCCACTAAATGTAAATATGTGCTCCTATGCGTAAATATGTGACACCATAATTTGTAAATATGCGCTCTAATGGTAAATATGTAAAATGATGTGTAAATAAGCATTCAGATGTTTAAATTGTTTAAATTGTTTTCTTGTATT